AATACAGCTGAATAAAAAAAAATAAAAGAAAAGAAATTTACATGAAGTGAGGCGCGAAAATTAATTTAGACGTTGTTTTGGGAAATTCGATAACGTCGTCATAAGAGAGATCACTCTAAGCCGTAAACGGATCAAACCTCCGAAAAAAAATTTAAAACCGGTGAACCTCTCACTTCAATGTTAACTGGGTGGTTTCTAAGAGAAATTGGATATAGTCGTTGACAATGAGAGCACTCAGAGCCTAGCCTATGTCCAGCCTCAAATAAAAATTACCAACGGTTTCCCACTGAGGAGGGAAATGAAATATCCTGGATATGAATCCAAATTTTTCACTTGTCGCACGGGGTTTTTCAATGATCTTTCGAAATCACGGCACTCACGGAGTATTTCACTAGGCACTGTAGAAGGGCAAATAGTTTTCGGCTGTCGGCAATCAAGATCAGAGCTCACGGCGGCGGCCGGCAATCAAGAGGGAAGTGCTTACGACGGCCGGCAATCAAGAGGGCGTAATTCCCAGATGTTATCGAATTTATGCTTTTCGGTAAGCCCGAGTGGGGGATACCACTACTACAGCCGACTGTTTACAATTTAAAAAATAAAAAAAAATGTCCTTTTAGTACCTTCACAAATAGACAAATAAAGGTAGATAATTGGTACAAAATCGACTCTACAAAATGCCCATTCGGATTTCGGCAAATATAGGAATATTTTAACCTACGACGGTACTCGCAATTGTTGAAAAACGGTAATTCCTGGGAAACAGAAATACGGCCGATCTTTCACATGTCCTCAGGCGGAAATTAATTGAAATATAAATTTTTAAAATGAATTGAGAGCAAAATTTAGTGACTTCGTCACATACTTCATATTCTTGTGGCTGTTCATCATGTTCTAGTTCACCTTCTTCTCGATTATATACATTCTGTAAAACATATAGTCGTCAAATATTGATAATTTCTAATATTTCTATTTAGAACATGTCTATAATTAAAATATTTGCTAATTTCTAACTCAAAAAGCAATAAGTAATACTGCTGAATTGTGTATTTATACATAAAACAACTATAGAATATCTGATTAAAAATAAGATGTTTAAACAAAACATACTTAGATAAAATATTACTCGTTTCCAAAATAATAATTAAAAATAAAACGATATGGTTAAAGCGATAAAAATAAAAAAAAGAACCAAGTTTGGGCGGATATATATATCTCAGTTTGTTTTTATCCAAAAAAATTTTTTAATCCACCAGTTTTTGTTTGATGTTTTGAATCCCCCTGTAGATATCAAAGGTTTCTTGGCACCATTTTAATAAGTACAAAACTGCGCAACTATTGTATAGTTTAACCAACTTGCTATTTTTTGCCGTTTAAGAAATAGTCATACTGTCCCTGAAATAGTAGGGACCCCGTATAGTACTACTTGACTGTGCATGTATTTAAGTATCGTACCTACTAATCTAAACTGCCGTAATTACATTTAATGACTAAGTGGTTGCAAATCTGGGCGCAAATGAGCCCATTATTTTTGTTGACCTTTTTCTGGACCGCAAATGTGCCGAAAAAGGTTGAAAGCGTAAATGGCTCGGGCGCAACTGGGCGACACCAATGATTTGTATCAAAACATTTATTTCTCTCAAAATTTATTATTTGCCTCAACAAAATATAAAAAATGCATATTGTTTACAAAGATATAAATCAGAGCTGGGACAAATCCTCAAAAAATTGATTCGATTTCACGAATCCGAATCACGAGATGTGATTCGAATCACGGATCCTATGTCCGAATTCTTTTTGCACTAAAAAAGGATCCGAATCAAGTTATTCGAATTTATTTTTTCGGATCACGAATACGAATCACTGTCAGTGTCATACCATGATATTAGGTATGCTTCCCAATCTAATATCAATATCAACTATGTGTCTATTAACAGGGCATTGTAGGCTTAACAAACATATGTTCAATATCGGTCTGACAGAAGAGGCCTTGTGCCGATTCTGTCAAGAAGAAGAGGAAACGGCAGAACACGTATTGTGCTACTGCGAAGGTCTAGTAAAACTGAGATTCCTTACACTTGGAGAAGAAAAACCAAGGGCAACTAGCTATACCGGAGAACTACTTTCCAGTCTATGGAGTTTACTACAAAAGATCGCATTAGACAAGGTACTCTAAACAATGATTAAAGGATATCCACAATAGATCTGAAAAGGTCGAGGTGGGGGAGGCCACATGGCCCATAGTCCTAATTAAATCTAATCTAATCTAATGTGTCTATTACGGACTATGACTTGCATAAAAATAGTTTATATAACAAGATAAATAAACTTGTTTTTTTTTTCTATAAATATAAACCATAAATAAAATAGAATCTATAAAAAATATATTTTATTTTAATACAGAAAACAAAACACACAATGAAATAAAAATGTCTTTTGGTTGGCCTTGCATAGCACCAATATTTCAAAGTCCTTTGCGGTGCGTCGATTATACCTGCAAACAAAAATAATCGTTAGACTGCACCAGACAACGGAAGGCAAGTGTTAAATTTTAGGATTTTTTTATATTGGATATTCATTGCTAATTTGTAATGTCAAAGAAGGCGCCGAGCACCTAGGCAATTTTGAGTTGAAACCTATGCCATATTTTTAGGCTATTTTAAGACTATTTTAAAACTATTTTTATGCTACTCGTTTTTTGCAAAAATCAAGGTGCTCTGCTAGCTTCGAACAAAGTGAGCAGAGCACCTCAGTTTTTTAGGTTTTTTTGTTTTCCAAAAACAACGACACAATATTTTTAGGCTATTCTTAGGCTCTCAAAATATTATTTTTAAAAAATACAGGTTGCTTTTCTAGCTTCGAACGAAGACTACAAAGCTACAAAGCACTTCTCTTCCAACACTATTTTTCTCGAAAAGTTTTATATTTTAACCCATTCACGGACACCTGGTTTACTTTTGATCTACTCAGATCATCACCTGATTTAAGGGAGGATAGCGAATTGGACACAATTTTAAATTAAATGCCTTCGTGGGACACTTCTCTGATAAGAAACTTGATATATAAGGACACTTGAGCCCTCCTTTATGTGTTTCTTATGGAGATTGGGACTGCAACAGCATATGTGCCATTTTCAGTGGACCAATAATCATCTGCAATTGCGGTTCTGCCCCTACACATGTGTTTTCAAGTGCATACACGTCCGTGAATGGGTTAAGAGCCTAAAAATAGCCTAAACATGTGACATAAGTAGATGTTTCCAGAAAAAAATAAACCAAGGTGCTCTGCTTTGTTCCAACGAAGCACCCTGTATTATTTAAAAATGGCAATTTTTGAAAAAGTTATAAAATATTTCAAGAGTCTAAAAATAGCCTAAAAATGCGGTGTGATTGTTTTTAGAAAAAAAGGTTTAAAAAACCGAGGTGCTCTGCTGACTTTGTTCCAACAAAGCACCCTGTATTATTTATAAATAGCAATTTTTTAGTAAAGTTTTATAATATTTCACAAACCTGAAAATAACCTAAAAACGCATTGGGGTTGTTTTTAGAACAAAGCTTTAAAAAACCGAGGTGCTCTGCTGGCTTCGTTCGAAGTTTGCAGAGAACCAAATAGCCTTAAAATAGCCTAAAAGTATGGCATAGGTTTCAACTTAAAATTGTCTAGGTGCTCTGCTGCCTTCTTTGACATTAATTTGTAGATTGTTATGTTAATCTTCTAAATATTAACAATGGGTCTTCAGTCTCAGTCTGTTTCAGTTTAGACTTCGTGACAAGTCAAAGCGTGAGTCGACGTTCACGCCGGCATAGTTTGGTCTCTAAAAGGATCCGATACTAATATTGGTGATTCAAATACAAATCCTTAAGGATTTCCTCGGCGAATCCGGATCACGGATCCTCTTTTCTTGAGTATTCGAATACCGTTCGCGGATCCTCAAAAAGGATTCGAATCCTATGTGACTCGAATCCTCCCCAGCTCTGATACAAATACGCCAGGAATACACCAGGAAAGTCATACACATAGAGTTTACTTAGCTAATCGAGATAATCATTACATTAATAGACCGTTAGATAGTGACTAATTTGGGTGCATCATTTTCGCTTACAAGCCTCGAGGAAGGTTGAAAAGTACATCGATGTTGAGTAGAATGAAAGGAAATTTACGAGTGGCCCCTGGGGATAACATAGAAAATTCGATTTTCCTTAACATAAATAAAGTCTATTTTGCTCGTATTTCCATGCAAGCCATGATTACGAAAAACACGTTTCCCCATTCCTTCGGTCTGTCTGTCTGTTTGTCTGTTGTCGCGATAGCTCAAAAAAGGGTTAACTGTACTTCAAATTTTGTATGCAGTTAAAGGTTACTTTCCGGCTTAACACCAATTATACTTCCGATCAGTTATATACAGGGTGAGCAATTTTTTTTAATTATTTTTAAAAGTCGTTAGATTTCGACTAAAATTGCTATCTGAGAATTATAACAGTCAAAGATAACAGATCCTAAATAAGTTTTTAAAAATTCAAAATAGCGTTGGAAAGAATCGTATTTAATGAAAACGGGTCCCCCTTGAATGAAAATAATAAAAAGCGTCCTTTTGGTTTGTGTAACTGGACCATTTTAAAAGCAGCCAATCATTATTGTTCAATAACGGTGAACGTGACAAAGAACACCGAGCAGACTTGAAGTGTGATTTCGGGTGGGATCAAGAGGAATATCAATAGAGAGAGAAATGTGGAAAGAGGTTTTTTGTTTTGGTGGTTTTAATTTTAAATTATTAAAATTTACGTGCTTAGGAGTTCCCTGTTTTTACAATTTCTATATCGAGGAAAGTTCTGGGTATATTACTTTACCGATTTTTTATTGGTATAATTAAAATTATATTATAACAACAAAAACACTTTTTTATTCCTCAAAAAATCTATTTTATCAATATTACAGAATATTTTCACCAAAGTATGTCGCAACGATCATTAACAAATTATCGTAATTATGTTACAATAATTAAACAATAATGAAGAAACCGGCCGATAAAATATTAATAGCTATATAAATTTAAATAATTTTACGAGGAATTCAGTAATTGTGAAGAAATGGCAATGACACTACCAGAACTGTACAATCAAAGTAACGACATTACAATTAAATCCACTCAAGAACACATTAAGAAACATCGAAATTTGATAAAATGGAAAGACGGCGAATCTATTCTAGATATTGGAATTGGAGATGGAAATTGCTCGGTGCTTTGCCTTAAACCGATTTTACCCGAAAATTATAAAGAATTTTTTGCAATGGACGTATCAAATTTAATGCTAGAATACGCTAAAGGTAATATCAATTTTCCAAGGACCCATTTTGTGCAATTTGATATGGCGAGTGAAGACATTCAAGATTGTTTACTGGAGAGATTTGATCATATTTTTAGTTTTTACTGTATACATATGATTAGGAATACAAGGTAGGAAAATTTATACTTAGGGCCAATAATCATATTTAAGGAAGCTTCAATATTAAAAGTATACTTTAAATCTTATATCAATTTCGTAAGGGCAAACTGAATACCTTGAAAAATTTTAAAAATATTTTACGACTTTATTTTTAGTCCGATTTTTTTAAAATTTTCAAGTACTAATAATTACCAAACTTAGGGTGGAGGAACCTTGAATTTTTTTTTAAACCTTCGATAAATATATATTTTGTTAATTTTTAAACGGAAAATTAAAAAAAGAAGTTTCCGCGCTATTCAGTATTGAATCTATGAAAATTTGCTGCTTTTGTTTAAATAAAGTAGTTTTTAAATAAAATGCTTTCCCACCTTTTCCAAAAATGTCTTTGCAAAGTGCTGCCATATCGGTGCAGAAATTTAAAGCTCTCAATTCTACCGAGAAACAATCAATCGCGAAGTATTTCCAGTGGCGCACTTATAAATACAATTTCATATTAGAAAATTTTCATAACATTTTAATGTTTTTAGTGTTTAGTGGTGTGAAAGTGTTTATCTAAATGTTTTTAATATAATCAAAATTTCATACAGGGTAGTCAAAAATTTTGTGACTACCTACAAGGCCACATAAATAAAAATTATTATTGTTATTATTATTAAGATATAAATCGTTTTCTCCAATTTAGAACTATTTTTAAACAACAGTGATAAAAGGTTCAAAAACGTGTTTTTGAAGATCTGTATTATCCAAAGTATTCATTTCAGATCATATAAGTAATGCAAAATATAAAAACACTTAATAAAATATAGGACATTCCATAGGAAATTTTTTTTGAGGTAAAAAGCATTTTTAAAAAGTAGCACTATAACATTATGGAGATACGCATACGAAATTTGAAAATACCTATTTATTTTTTGTCATTAGGTGACGTTCTCGATTCTCTCTGTATAAACCACTTGTAAATATAAGGGGTTTCAAAAAGATTAATGTGTAGATCGCAAGTGTTTAATTAATGTAATACACTATGCTTTGATATCATTCTTGATATCTACGCAAAATTTTATCTCGTGGGTTATCGTGAATTTTTAATCCTCTGGGCAACCTCGGATCTACTAACTCCGGAGGTAAGCAATTAAAAAAATATTTCCAGTTTTTCAATCATCTGGTTAGCCCAAACAGTTCTATCTCGTGGAACCTAAAACATTAAACATTAATTAAATAAATTTGACTTTAGATGTTTAAATCAATTAGTACCTAATACTTAGTACATTATATGTATACCTAGGTTGAGAAATAAAAATTATAAACTGAGCCTCAAAATATAATGTGCGAAGTTTATAATTTCACTTCTCAACTGATTTTTTTACCACTAATATTAAAAATTATACATATATAAACATAAGGGATGTATCATCCCTAATAAAAAGGTCTAAACTGGTTTTTCAATGGTTTAATTCACGATCAAGTATTCTCAATTACAATGTTGCTGTGGTATTGCCACTGTCTATTCGTGTAATACTCACTGCGCTGGTCTGCCTTCTTCCGCTCGTCCATCCTGACACGCATGAGTATGGACTTCAAGAATGTGTGGTGGGGAGCAGAGGTACACCGCTGCTAACACGGCCATCCTGCAATTGGTGCGTCCTCGCGCCACATATCTTGAATTACAAAATACGGAAACAGAACTACTGTTACGACTTATGAACATTATCACTAATGTTCTTTTTAAACACTAAACTCAAGTGTTACTTTATTATCATAATTTTTTCAGGAAAATTTGGTGGGATTGCCACCCTAACACTAAACACTAGTGCTACAACACCAAACACTGGTGGTACTTTATTATCATAATTTATTCAGGAAAATTTGGTGGGATTGCCACCCTAACACTAAACACTAGTGCTACAACACCAAACACTGGTGTTACTTTATTATAATAATTTATTCAGGAAAATTTGGTGGGATTGCCACCCTAATACTAAACACTAGTGCTACAACACCAAACACTGGTGTTACTTTATTATCATAATTTATTCAGGAAAATTTGGTGAGATTGCCACCCTAACACTAAACCTAGTGCTACAACACCAAACACTGGTGTTACTTTATTATCATAATTTATTCAGGAAAATTTGGTGAGATTGCCACCCTAACACTTAACCTAGTGCTACAACACCAAACACTGGTGTTACTTTATTATCATAATTTATTCAGGAAAATTTGGTGGGATTGCCACCCTAACACTAAACACTGGTGCTACTTTATTATCATGATTTATATATGAACATTTGGTGGAATTGCCACCTCAAGTTAACAAAAACAATTTTTTTAATTTAATATTGTGGGATTTCCACTCACTTTTTTTATAATTGCTGAGACGACCATGGCCACTGATCTTAAGCGGCTACAGTTGTTGGCTGTCGCTTTTTACAAAGTTGATATATTTCATGTGGTAATACCTCTCGAACAGTGTAAAGGTCCTTTTCATTTGGGCCTCAGTTTTCCTCCACCTGTTTGGAACTTTCTTCTATTTCCATTTGATAAAAGCTTGATTTCATGTCCAACGTGGTAAAATATTTGTGGGGAAACAGCTATCATTTTATTTGTAGTGGCGCTCCGGGGCAACTTGAAGATGATTGATGGTGCCATTTGACTTACAGGTGAGGAAAACACGGAAAACTTCACCTACCATCATTTTGAGTGACTTCTGCGGATAATTCCACTGTATAATTTTCTTTCGCCGAATTCTGTCTTGATACGATAATCACCTTCGTTGATACGCTACTGAAGTACTGCATTTTAATCTAAATTGACATTTTTCTGGTAGTTATGTGATCAGGATTTTTATTATTGTAAAATGTTAAAAGTTTCTTCACTTGTATTTTTAAAGTGTCTTTTAATTCTAATTGATTAATTTTCATATCGTTTAATTTTTTATTGTAAACATTTTCTGGATATTGAGCAGGTCACTTAATCCCATCGGCATTTTTCTCGACACTTAAACAAGGTCGGCATCTGACATTGCATCCAATAACAATAACAACATCTTCTGCAACCACAATATTTGGAACGGCCTCTAATGTAACAGTCGCCAAATGACTAACAAATAACAAAAAGCGGTAATGTAAACAACTCCAAGAAGCACGTGCATCATATTCAGCTGGCTTAATCGATCCTTTTAATGTTTTTACTACAGATTGGTAAATTATTGACATGTCAGCATCACTATCAATAAGGAATTTTAACGACTGAGCTTACTCACAGTATAATAACATGGCTATCGGTGTCAAATTTAGATGGCGTTATTTATTTTAACACAAATGTTTTTTAAACTTACTTGTTTATACCAACAATTGGATCCGAAGTGACCCATTTTTTTTAATTAATGCACTAATACTGACGGATTTTTTTATGAGTAATAACCGCGTTAAATGTACTCGCCTGTTATATTCTCCGACATGGATTTTGTTGGTATTTTGGCGGCGACTTCTCGTTTAAACTAACTTCTTGGTTTTCTTATGATCTCTGCATTTTTCGTCATTCTCGGGGACTCAAGTCAACATGGATCGCATCAAATTCGGCAAGTAATTTTATGAGCTCACCACTCACGTTCAGAATTTGGCTTTTGAATTGTCTATACCGGAACTGAATGCTATAGCAAAGCTTTATAAAATTTAGTGATGATCCACAATTTTTGATTTTCACAATCACACACCGTGAGTTACAATCATGGCATTGAAGCGTAACCTTGTATTAACGAGCAGCTGGTGTTTTCTTGTCAGCGAATGCAACAATTAAGTCATCACAAAAGTTTTGTCAAGTTCGAAAGAGAAGTTGCCAGTCACAACAATAACAATAACCGGGATTCTTGCTCAATAAAGCGCTGACGCTGAGTTCGCCTTTTATTTTTCGCCTTTTATTTTGGTAGAGTTACTCAAGCCATTCTTTTACGGAATATGTGCTCTCATCAGGGTCATAACTGGTAAGTCGAAAATAGTGCACAGACGCGAATGTCGGCGCTTGCGTGTTATATTCATCTGCTCCTGCAACACTGGGCGTTGGCATAGCGAACGGCTACGTAGCCATCTTGGAATGTTGAGTTAAATCAGCAATTTATTACTCTTGGACTGCTACAAAGTTCACATTGTCTTTAAGATCGACCGCCATTATGTTCGGCTGACGCACTGTCACGAGGTTCAGGATTTTCGCCCGCCATTATCACTAGCACTAACTTTTAATAAATTACTAATTATAGTCAATTAGCCACGGTACGCGTAGTGATCCCACTTCTGATATAAACATAAGGGATGTATCATCCCTAATAAAAAGGTCTAAACTGGTTTTTCAATGGTTTAATTCACGATCAAGTATTCTCAATTACAATGTTGCTGTGGTATTGCCACTGTCTATTCGCGTAATACTCACTGCGCTGGTCTGCCTTCTCCCGCTCGTCCATCCTGATGCTCATGAGTATGGACTTCAAGAATGTGTGGTGGGGAGCAGAGACACGCCGCTGCTAACACATATGTTATTAGGATTGATCAGTGTGTTAGTAAGTCCAAATTATTATAATATACGATATGTCACCATACATCATTATAGGTATATACTAACCCAGGGATTTTTATCAAGGATAATATAACAAGACCTTTATATATAATTAGCTATTTTTGTTGCGTCTAAATCCAGAGAATATTTTAATGACAATTTAATGAAACATAATTTTGGCATTATCGGATTGGAGCCCGAAACCTTAAGCTCAACGTTTTTAATCTTGTAATTATTATTGCCAAAATGATGTCAAATCAAATTGTGTAATATTTGAGAAATTTAGCAACAACAAAAATAACAGAATATTAATCAAAGTGGTGTTATATTTGAGACGACTAATATACTAGACGAAATACTGACTATTTCTCTAGAGAAATAGTCGGTGATATTTGGTCTAGGAAGATAGTCATTATTATTGCCCTAGATTCAAGAAATGAGATAAATAACGGCAATAATTACCTTT